AAGAAGGGGACGAGAGGCTTCGAATGCTTCGCCTTCTGGTCCTCCCTGTAGCACCCATCTAGTCGGTCCGGCCGCGGAGCTCTGGGATGAACCAGCTCCAGCCCCATGACCGAAGCAGCCCGGGAAATCACGGCTAACATGTCCGCTTCAGGATCCGTTTTGACGGCGCTCACCTGCCCGGAGGGGGCAAGCGGGTCAGGATCATCGGACAGTGAAAACCCACCCTCCGATGCCGCGGAGGACATCTGATCTCCGGTGTCAGCGAGCGTGAGAGCTACCATCTGGTTAGACGGATCACTCCTACTGCCCGAAGCTTGGATGGAGCACCGTGAGGAGCGAGAGGTCCGCGGACCCTTGGGCGGCGGATTATCTCCCGCTGGAACCCTCAGATCTGCCCGAGCGCCCGCTGCAGGGCAGGAGGCAACTGGGGTGGATCGCTCTCTTACGAAGGTTAGCCGCGATCTTAGCTGTGCAATGGTCTTGGCATCGCAATGACGACATGAACCGCCCGCGAGCACCAAAAATGCAATGCAGTGATCGTGTCCATCATCCGGAGCCAGGAAACCCCCGCATCCAAAAACACACAGTCGGAGCGTCATCCTGAAAAGGACGTGCTGCACTACTGTGTTGCTTTTTTTTAGGAAAAGTTGCAACAATACGAACCGCTCTGGAGGACCGGACCCAAAAAACCGCAGGCAAAGGAGAAACCCAGCTCGACCGTCTGCCGCTGCGAAAACCCACTCTGGACCGGGAGACACTCGTTCGCTCTGAAGTCACTGAACCAGCAAGAGGAACCCTCATCGACTCGATCAGAAACTCTCTGAAGCAAAAAGGATAGCGTTTGCTCGCTCCAGGTGTGCTTATATGCTGGGATAATTGGCAATGAAGCACACCTGTGCAAGCTTACGCTGCCAATTCATTACATTCATTGGCTTGTTCTATACTCTTTCAGACAATTGGCTTCTGAACCGAATCCTCCCATACTTGGATTTTCAAAATCAAATCCACTGTATAGCACTGAAGTTCCCCAACCGAAGGGGAACTGGATGACAGAGTTAATAAAGCTTTTATTAACATACAAATTAACTACAAGTACATGTTTGAATAAAAAGAATTATAAATGTTGATTTTAATAGTTTATTAATCATTTACTTAAGCATTCTAAATAATCTTAAAAACTATAATTATAACTAAATGAAGTATCGCATTATTTACAAACCAATTATGAAAAATAAATCTTTAACAAAATATGAAAATACAATTATTCAGCAGATTATTTGTGTGCTTTTAATTCAAGAATACAGCATTTGTATCTGCAGATATAAACTGCTTATTAATTACTACATCTATTAATGTAGAGTTAATGCTTAACAGATAATGAATTCACTATTTGCTAATGTTTCATAAATGGTTCATAGTGTGTAGTTATTATAAAGTGTTAACGAAAAAAACTTATACCAAAGAATAGAGTGAAGAGCTATTGATGATGTCAGGAAGTCACCTTTATATCTATGGAGCTTTTTTAGTTGTTATCAAAGCTGTTTTATGTGAAAGAACAGGGAAATAAGTCATAATATTTAATTTGGGGACAACACGGTGGCACAGTGGCTAGCACGATAGCCTCACAGCAAAAAGGTCGCTGGTTCGGGCCTTGGCTTGGTAAGTTGCCATTTCTGTGTGGAGTTTGCTGTGGAGTTTGAATCCAATCAAATCATTTATTGAATAAATTAAATTGGCCGTAGTGTAAATGTGTGCATTAGTGTGTATGGATGTTTCCGAGTATTGAATTGCAGCATGGAAGGGCCGCTGTGTAAAACATATACTGTATAAAATGACGGTTCATTCTGCTGTGGCGACCCCTGAAAAATAAAGGGACTAAGCTGAAGGAAATTAATGAATGAATTTTAGCTTGTGGGACATATATAGCATATCAGGTATCTAGCTGATTAGTGGTGTAATGTTAGTATAGTTCTAGTTAGTTCAAAACTGATTAGGAATGGGCCGGAATACAGTATGTCTGTAACATCTCCAACCTCTGTGGTTCCCCCCTCCCAATCCTCACCAGACTACTAATTCAGTGTCCACTACATTTCCCAGCATCTGTTACGTGTGATTACCCTAGCACCTGAAATACATTACAATGACTATTTAAACTCTACCTACCAATCATTAAACCCTACCTACCATTGACGTTTTGTTTTGCCCCAAATACAAGTCTGAGCATTTTTCTCTGTTTTCTGACCTATTATATGTTGACCTTGGACTGTTCCTCGCTTCTGTGATTGCTTATGCCGCCTGCCTTCTGTGAACCACTGCTCGGCCACCTGTGTCGACCTATCGCCTGTTCACCAACTCGGAGTTCTTTCTCTCCTTTGTAATCCTAATTTGTTGCTAACTGAGCCTGCCTGTTCGCTTGTCTTTTTTTGATTCAATAAAGCTGCAAATGCATCCCCTCTCGGTTGACTCGACCTAACAGTATGAAAACCTTAAATAAAATTATCATGGTTTCACGATATAGTGATTACGGCACTAAAATGAGTTCTTTTTAAAAGGGTAAAACAAAACAACTTTTTATACACAATCTATTTTATCTTACGAAACAAAAAATATTTAATTATTATGTCAGGCTAAATTCAAATAAGCCATCGACTTCATTAGTTTCAAAATCACTGATTTCTTTACAACTTGAAAAGGCATCTTTGAATATCTTTATTTTCTTTAGATATACATAAGTGACTGCACTGTTCAGCTCTATAGCATGATTAAATGTTGGTTTATAAGCAATTTGTTTGTAAAATGTCTTCTAAATTGTGGGCTGACCATTAGCTTTTGATGTGGAGAGTCTTTTTCTGTAAATAATAATAAATAAATAATAATTTCCAATTTTTCCAAACCACGTTAAACCTTAAAACAGGTTATTGTCCTATGCCTAAAACCGATCCAGTTCAGTTTTATACAGATGTGATTATTAACGAGCCCCTATTATGGGTTTTTAAGAATGACCTTACATGTATTGTGTAAAGCAGCTCTAGGTGAAGTGAAATATCCAGCTAAGGCTTAAATCTAAAAGTGCACAGTGTTTAAAACTATTGACTCATCTATATAAGAGTCGACTCATAGTGCTTCAAATTAATTGTCTTGATAACGAGTCTTTAGGAGTCTTTCGGCATGACGTCGATAACAAAACTTAAGCCCCATCCAATAGTTGTGCGCGCAAACCCGGGAAAATTTAAACCTGTGGCCTCGCCCACAAACACAGTAGCAAAGAATAAGAGTAAAACACTGTGACAGATCCCTGTTGAATCAAGCCATGAAGATGCTGTGCTCAGCTGCATATTATTGGAAGTGTGAGGGAACGTTAGTGTTATTTTCCTCTGCCCAAAGATGAAACTGTGAAGAGTCAGTGTTTGAAGTTTATTTTTGCAAAAATACCTCAGCATTATAGCCCAGCCTTGTGCTGTTTAGGTGCTTCTGGAATGTACACGCTTAAAACGCGAGATTCGTCGGCCGCTTGTTAAAGGATGCATCAGAAAAGACGATTGATGTAAGGGACTTTTATTAGGAACTTTATCAGTACAAGGCAGTATTAAAAGCAGTTTCTTTCTCCATTTCACAAGTGTAAGTAAGTGTATTACCATAGATGCCTTCTTGTTTGCTCTAGCTTACAAATTATGTATTTAATTAGGTTTTGTAACTTATAACTGCTTGTACTGTATGTGGTTAACTCTTTATATTTAAATATCGCGTCTAATCCCACGTTAAAAACGCAATGTGTGCTGCTTTGTTTACGGATTTAAATGCGTTTGTGAGCTCACATTCCACTCCTGTTTTACGTTGCTATGGCCACCGTCAGCTGTTCTTACACACGTGCAGCAGTCATAGTTCAAAATAGTTCAGCTTTTGCCGCTGTGTGTATTAATACTGAATGAGTGTCACTGTTTTTACTAATGATTAAGAATAGAGCAATATGCTGGTGTTCAACTGCATTGGGCTCACACACATACCTGCCAACATTTGAAAAAATTGTTTATTACAAAATGAAATTACAGGAGCTTTTCGGGATAAAGAACAAAATGGGTGGGTGGGTGGCTGGAGATGGATCTGAAATATGGGAGACTCTCAGGAAAAACAGGAGTGTTGGCAGGTATGCTCACACATACACTATGCACTTTGACTACTTAAATATTGTTGATAAGCCCTACTGGGCATTTTACTCTCTCGCACTGAACGCTGTCGACCAATCGCAGCAGACAGTCATCTGTCCAATCACAACAGACTAAAGAGGGGTTTGGGAACAAATGAATCACTGAACGATTCATATGGGAGTTGCTGGGATAATCACGTAAAAATAAATGCAAATTATAAGACAATAAAAGTGTATTTTGACCTTGCATGCATATCAGCCTATTGTTGGAGACCCTTAAAACCAAAATATGACATTTTTAATGTATAATAGGGGGTCTTTGAAGGGCAATTACCTGAGAAACAGCTCCACCAACCTCAACCAAGCAAGCCATTGTATACACATTATATAACTACACACCCAGGCATTGACTGATAGGGGAGAGGTCTCTGTTTCTGGGGGGACTTATTTGTAGAAACAGTGCAATGTTACATAAAAAAAGTAAAAAAAATAAAAATGCTGCTGCATTGAAATTCAATGTTCAAGTTCAAATTAAATGTTCAAGTTATAAAATGTATCTTTTGCCCAGAGGAGCTTTGTTTCCTTGTTCCTTGCTTTAGACATTTTTGACATTAAATAAAGGGGTTGTTCAATGTTACTTTAACTAGTATTTTCTTACAAAATTATTATGTCAGAATAAAAATTAAAAAAAAGGCTAAAATATACTAAAAGTTGCCTTAAAAACATTTGTAGAAAGTGCAGTTATCTTAGAAATAACCTGGTGTAACCCATTTTTTTCGCAAAAAAAAAAAAAAAAAAAAAAATTCTAAAAAAAATTAGAACGATGGGATGGTTCTGTGTGCTTTTCAACACTGACTTGCAGTAAAATGCTTCACGTTGGAGAGTGTCTCTTCTCCTTGAAGTTTTTCCCACTGTATGGCTTCAGTCTTCTTCATCTTAATCTCTATCTGAAGAAAGACAAATCAGATAAATCACAGTTACTCCATTTATGTTTGCTGCTGTCTGCCTAAGCGTGGCTTTAGGTAAGCTTGCTTTGCTCTGGTTAAACTCTTTTTTCATTATAAATCATGGTTTCACTCTACTGTCATTACTGCATTAAAATATATTCTCTTAAATACTGGGGAAAAAATAACTACTTTCCCCAATTGAACACAGTGTATTTTGTTTTGAGAAACATTGAAGACTTTGGATGTCAGGCTAAATAATTCAAATAAATTATTGACTTCTGCTCTCTTCATTAGTTAAAAAAACTAATATGCATCTTTAGATATCTTTTTTTTTTCTTCGAATATGCATAAGCCACTGCACTGTTTAGGTCTATGACATGCTGGGATGTTGACATACAAGCAATTTTTTCCAGATGTTTGAAAAAAAAAAACATTGGTAAAAAAACTTTGCATATACATTAAAACTGTATGACAGAAAAAGTTAGCGCTTTTAAAACTTTGACTTCCAAACCATACTTTATACCTTGAAACAGATTATCGACACATTTGTTGTGGGCTGCATGCTTCATGTGTCAAGAGTATTTAGCAATTTAATTAGTTTTACCATCAGATCTAATTTTTTTTTTAAATATTATAGTAGGCCTATTAAAGTTTCTTAATAAGTGTGTCTGCATCTAACAAGTCCATGTTAATAAATGTTCTCTTTGAACCCCTAGGGGAGAACCACCCCTTGACAGTTTTTTTACTTTTATTTTGCAGTGTACCAATTTTATTAATATATATATATATATATATATATATATATATATATATATATATATATATATATATATATATATATATATATATATATATATAAAATATATAAAATATATATATATATATATATATATATATATATAAAATATATATATATATATATATATATATATATATATATATATATATATATTTTTTTTTTATTTTTTTTTTAAAGAATTTACCATTTTCCCCGTTGTATGTAATCTCTTTTTTACTATAAGAAAATATCAGCATTCAGTATATACTTTCAGTATCACTTTTGCTTGAAAAGACCATAGACTGCTTGAATGACCTGATCTAATCTTTTTAAATGAAATAAGCTTGCTCCCTAGCAGGTTTGAACTACCAGACCTGTTGCTATGATAATGACTCTTGGGTGGGTTTTTGGGGGATCTTGTCAAATCATCAATAACCAAATGCAGCTAATTGAGTAAATCAAGTATGAAGAACGGCCCCCTTGGTCTTAATTATGTCAAACAACAACAATATTATTAGAAGCCTAAAATGACAAGTAGAGTGGTCAATTTATACAAGGTGTGGGATAAGGTATGAATTAGAAAGTGTGGTGACTAGGCAAATTTAGTGAGGGGTGCAGAATTTGGCAGGGGTACATTTTTAGTCACTCCACCTGTAATGTAAATTTTATAAAGGCCAGGAGACAAGTGTAAGGGGGGCTTTGTTGTTGCCTTTTTTGAATATTTCTTATGCTATTACCCCATCTATTGGACAACCTCATTAGTGCAATCTGCATCTATCAGGCAAAATAGCAGAGAATAAAAATCTATCAACATGCATTTTCCTCTAAATAACTTCTTGTGCCTGTTTTTGGAAAAGTTTACAAGGATGTTTCATTTAAAAGATTACAGACTCCCGATTTTCTTTGCGTGCATCCTGATACTAAAGTTTTTTTTACATTAAGACCCAAATAGCTGCCTTCCTGTAAGTTAGAGCTAATGAATGCATGTATAGATAGAACTGTTACTGTAGTTAAAACTTAATTATACTGCCCTTTAGTGATGCACACTATACAGTCTTATGCCAAAGTTTGGCCAGCCCTGATTATAATATATGTATGTATATATATACATATTATATATATATATATATATATATATATTTATACATATTATATATAATATTATACATATTATAATATTATAATATTAATATTATAATATAATATTATAATATTATATCATATTATACATATTATATATATATATATATATATATATATATATATATATATATATATATATATATACATATTATATATACATATATATATATATATATATATATATATATATATATATTAGGGATGTGCGGAGCAGCCGGTATTTGTATTTGTATTTGTTGAGGGGGGAAAAGTATTTGTATTTGTATTTGTATTAGAGTAAAATTCAAAATGGCGCAAAAATGTATATTTTTTGTATTACACTTCTAATTTACGTTATAGTGAAAGTATTGTTTAATTATACCCATTATATAAATTTTAGATATGCAATATTGGTTGTTGTTTTTGAACATGTGACAAGAAATGTCATTGAAAAGAAAATAACATAGAAGCCATTATCTCATCCATGGTTAAACCAACAACTAATAAAATACCATTGTGAATATTATGAACCCCACCACCACCGTTCTTGTTGAAGGACACTGAATAGACAGAATAAAAACAAATAATACTTCAAAAAACTGTTCTTCTACTGAAAGAACTTCTTTCCAATGGACAGAATTCCAAAAACTAAAATTAACTAAATAAATCTAAATAAAACCCTGCCTGGGAGATCTGGCAGAACAAAAGTATTCTATATAATACTAAAAGATACAGCCCTGCTATTATCATCTGCCTGCCACAAAACAGACACAAAGTTTGTTTGTTTGTTTTTTTATGTTTGAAACTGACTTGCTGGGGCAGAATGTGGCTGTGTTGATGGTTTGGTGCTTGTGGAAGATTTAGCAGAACATAGCTGTGCTGATTGAGGGGATTGATGCTTGTGGGGGGTTCACAGACAGTATCAGGAGAGGATGCTTTTAGTGCATGTGATAATACATTACATAGAAGGTTGCGCGGTGGCAGAGTGAGTACCACTGTCGCCTGACAGCAAGAAGGTTGCTGGTTCGAGCCCTGACTGGGTTCTCCCCATGTTGGCGTGGGTATTCTCCGGGTGCTCCGGTTTCCACCACAGTCCAAACACATGCAATACAGGTGAATTGGGTAAGCTAAATTGTCCCTATTGTATGTGTGTGAAAGGGAGTGTATGGATGTTTCCCAGTGCTGGGTAGCAGCTGGAAGGGCAGCCACTGCGTAAAACATTTGCTGGATAAATTGGTGGTTCACTCCACTGTGGCAACCCCAGATTGATAAAGGGATTTAGCCGAAAAGAAATGAATGAATGATTATGGATAGAAGATGTTGACAGATGTTTAATATCTCTGCCTCTGCTGATTTCACTTTTGCACACATTATACAGTATCAGTTTGCTTTATCTGCAGCTCCACTGACTGTAAAATGAACTTGAACAAGATTTTTTTTTTTGACTGGTGGAGGACCAAGAAATGGCTCAGCAGCAGTCTCACTCTTTTCTATTTCGGTGCCCAAATGTATTTGAGGAGTTTCAAGTTAATAAATGACGGGAAGCTATGCTAAGGTTAACTAGCCTATAGCAAATACCTTGCTGTCTGCAAAAGACAGTAACTTAGACGTACCATATAACTCACATAAGTACATACTACACAACTGCAACAGCATCGTTTTAACCTTTATAAACGAACGTTAACGTTACTCTGTCAACAGTCTGTCTAAATTACCGCGCTAACAGAGCTAACATTGCGTAAACAGAGAGCACCCAATTGCAGACGTCAATAATGCAGCGTAATGGAATATCCCGATCAAACTCCGATTCAACTCCGCTACAAGTTTTTAAACTGCCTCTGGAACCCAGGTAAGGTACAAAAATCTGTTTAACAAAACTAGTGATGCAGTAAAGTATTTTTGGCTTAGCCGAGCCTTCTCTGTTGCTGTATGGAGAAGCCTGTGCCAGTCACCTTTACCTCCACCCCGCCCTCCGACTCATGAGCGTCTCACTCACTCTCTCACTCACTCACGCGGGCATGCACTGCGGTCTCATGAGGAAACGCTGCTTTTTGATACAATGTTTTTCTTGTTCCCGAACACAAATAATTTTTCAAGTATTTGTTCGAAATTCGTGCCTTTCAGAATACCGTATTCGGGTTCGGCTCCACCCTATATATATATATATATATATATATATATATATATATATATATATATATATATATATATATATATATATATATATATATATATATATATATATATATATACACGCACACACACACCCACAATATAAACAAGCATGTTTTAATCATACCTTGGTTGAAAGGATCTTGTATGTGCTCTGCTGTGGGACAATAGGATGAAGAAGATGAACCTTCAGACAATAATCCTCTCCTGATGGAAGCTTTACCACAGCGGTCAACTAATAATATGAAAAAGAAAGAAAACATACTTGTTAATTGTAATGTATTGGATGCCATCATTTTTGCAAAAGTGTGTCCCTCTATTATAATGCCTTACAAAAATGTTCCCATTCAGAAGATTTCAAACATTGTTTGACATGTCAAGTATCAACAATATTTATTATAAGACCATTAATTGCTCACAGCCTTGTCTTTAAGTAATATAAAAAAGATATTCCCCTCACAGTGCATTCATTTTTGAGGCACAACTGATTACGATTATTTTGCCTACATTCTGAGTTGGGATGGGAGCCTGCTGCAAGCAGATGAGAAAAAGATTACCCTGTGTTTGTGATTCTAAACGAAGATCTTTAGATCTGAATTAAGAAAGGTCAGCAAGACTTTATTCTTCAGTCATGTGTGAGCAGACAACAGCATATGAAGTAAAAGTTTACCATCACTTATCTTAATAGACATTATTAAATGCAGTTTTTAAATGCTGTATTTCTAACTTAGAAGCATATATAATGATTAGGTTATTAATGATCTAAATTTAAATGTTATATAATTTACAAACCAATTTAGATGTTGTCAGGGGATTAAGATTATTTATAATGTTTTGGAGCCCCACTTATTTAGCTTTACATTCACTCAAAAGCTGACTAGGTTGTTGAAAATCTTCCTCACACTCAGGATGAAAAAGAGAGTAGATAGACAAAGTAAGAAAACTGTAAGCAAACTGATTGTGATTAAATTAAAAACTGACTTAAGAAAAAAAAAAATTGTTCGTTTTAGCGTGTTCTGTCTTGCCAGCAAGGTGTTCCCTTTTATATCATTTTAGTTCTTTTTATTCAATAAAACGGAATTTATTTATGATTTTATTCCAGCTTTTTTAAATTCTGTAATTGAAGTTAATGTTACCATTTTTTTATTTAATAGAATTTACTAAACTTTATTTTTAATACTTGTGCCTTGTCACTGCATTAATTGCTTGCTGCTTATTTATGATTTGGGAGTGAATCGTTTCTTAATTGTTTTTTAAAATGTATTGACAGACTTGTTCAGCTTTGTAAAATTATTTTGGGTTCTCGGAGCATATAAGCCTTGACCACGTAAGACGCACTACTTCCAGTCTATGCTGTTCAGCAGTTTATTAAAGGCTCATTAAGTCTAATGTTGTGTGTTTATACAGCAGTAAAATGAACTCTTACTGTACTTTCTTGGGTCCACAGCAACACAAAGTCGATTGGATAAATGATTTACACCATAATAAAAAGAAGTTTAAATTCATTTAAATAAAGTTTGTTTCATAGGATGGTTTAAGGAAATGATGTCCTGACCACACCAAAACCTACATTTTGTAATTCGAATGTGCTGCATGTGTAACCTTATTTAAATTTCCACTCATAAAAAGAATCACTTGTAGGGGTGTAACGGTATATATACACAGTTTAAGTCAGAATTATTAGCCCCCTTTTGATTTTTTTCTCTCTCTAATATATATATCCCAAATGATGTTTAACAGAGAAAGTAAATTTTCACAGTATGTTTGATAACATTTTTTCTTTTGGAGAAAGTCTTATTTGGTTTATTTCAGCAAGAATAAAAGCAGTTTTTAATTTTTTAAAAAACATTTTTGGGGCAAAATGATTCGCCCCTTTAAGAATTTTTTTTTTCAATAGTCTACAGAACAAGCCATTGTTATACAATAACTTGCCCAATTACCCTAACCAACATAGTTAACCTAATTAACTAATTAATCAATTTAAGCTGTATAGAAGTGTCTTTAAAAATATCTAGTAAAATATTATTTACTGACCTGATGGCAAAAATAAAATATATCAGTTATCAGAAATAAGTTTAAACTGTTACGTTTAGAAATGTGCTGAAACAATCTTCCCTCTGTTAAACAGAAATTGGGGGAAAAAAATAAACAGGGGCATTAATAATTCAGGGGGGCTAATAATTCTGACTTCAACTGTATGTTTGTTTGTGCACGTAGTAGTAGTTGTAATAGTAATAATAACAATAATATTAATAATAACAATAATAATAATAATAATAATAATAATTGTAAAAATAATAATAATAATAATAAAGACAACAACATTAAAATGACAATATTAATAATAATTTTGAAAGAGAGGAACTTTTGCTTAGGACCATATGATGTTTCAGTTTTTCTTTTTTTTTTTATCTGCAAAAATACTGTGTTTTTATGTCAATTTTATGTTGTGTGTACATTGAGGGGAAAAAAGAACTTAAAATGATTTTAGCAAATGGCTGCAATAGAACAGAGAGAAAAAATTAAGGGGGTCTGAATATTTTACGTACCCACTGTATGCTTTACATCAGAATTGCCAGAAAGTAGACCTCAATGTGTTTTTTTTTTTATAACCTTTTAACTCTGGGATTTTGGGATTTGGGATTTTTACTTTTTTAAAGATTTAAACATGGTACGAGTGGGTTGTGCTGTAATCTTTGAAAATAAATAGTTTATTTTGAGGAACATACACATTTTAGTTACAGATATTCCGCCCATAATGGATTCATTCAGTGTTGAAAATGATCTTTTTTAAGTATAGTTAAGTCAAAACAACTCTGACAGCCTGGGGGAAACATTGATGGATTAGTGATGTTTGGGATGTCACATCCACACTGGTGGAATTTAATGGAAGTATAGCAGATTTACTCCAGTTGATTGAGTATTCAGAAATATCTGAAAACGTATCATTAAGTTTATTTGTATTTTGTAAAGATGTTTGAGGATTTCGTAAATATAATAATATATCATCAATGTAGAGACTTATTTTATGGTGTGCATTAATGTTTAAATGTTTACAGTGGTACAATAAAAATGATAAATAGAGATAGAGAGAGTGTATCTAGTTCTCCAGTGTAGTGTGAAGCTGCGTGATGTTAGTCTTTTAGTAATGATGATGGCTGAGGATGATGTGGAGAGAATTTTAGAATGATTGTACTGTGATGATTTAATTATGTTATGATCAGATGTTATGATCGTTTCGGCATGTCTGCTTGTAATTAATTGATTAAAGAGCCCATATTATGGGTTTTTGAAAATTCCCCTCCATGTAGTGTGTAACACAGCTCTAAGTGAAGTAAAGTATCCAGCTAAGGCTTAAATCTGTAAGAGTACAGTGTTTAAAACGGTTGATTCATCTATAAAAGAGTCGACTCATAGTGCTTCAAACGAGTCGCCTTGATACCGAGTCATTAAGTGTTTCGCCAAAGATGAAACCTCAGTATTATAACCAAGCAGTTGGAAACTACTGGAAACTTCTGCAAACTACATGCTACAAAGAATACTTTATCGGCGTTTGTTAAAGGAAGGATCAGTAAAGAGTAACTTACTGATGGACGTCAGGATGGGTTTCTTCCTCCATTTCTCAAGTGTAAGTACGTGCGATTAAAGTTGTTGCCTCGTTGACTCTAGCTTGCAAATGTATTTAGTTGTGATTTGTTACTTGTAACCGCGTGTACTGTATCAGGTTAACTGGCTATATTCTCTTATCGCGTGCAAAGTCACGTTAAAAACGCGACGCGTGCTGCTTTGTTTACGGAGCTCCGTGGACGAGGGTAGTGTGTATGTGCGCGTGCGCTGTCGTCCGGAGGTATGTGTGTGTGTTTGTGTGTGTGTGTGTGTGTGTGTGTGTGTGTGTGTGTGTGTGTGCGCGCGCGCGTTGTCGTCCTGAGGTGTGTGTGTGTGTGTTTTTGTGTGTGCGCGCGCGCACGCAAGGACGAGGCCAATGTGTGTGTATGTGTGTGTGTCTGTAAAAAGGGCAGAGTGAGACAAGCTATGTGATCTCCTCGACAGTTTTTGGAGTTTTTGCTCAATAAAATAGTCGTTTGAATTTTCAAGTCCATCGACTGTATTTACATTGACCCACTGGCAGCTAAAATCCACGCCTACACTATCGAGCGTGTATGAACTGTGATTACTTTTATATTGCTGATTAGCTGTTTGGCTTTTCACTCTGACTGAAGGCAGTCAACCAATCGCAACAGGCTGTCATCGGTCCAATCAGCGCAGATTAGCTTCGCGCTAAGGAGGGGTTTGGGAACAAATGAATCACTGGACGATTCATACAGGAGTCGCTGGGATAATTAGGTAAAAATAAATACAGATTATAAGACCATGAAAGTGTTTTTTGACCTTGCATGCATATTAGACTGTTGTTGGAGACCCTTACAACCAAGATATGACTCTATTTCATGTATAATATGGGCTCTTTAAAAACTTTGATACTTTTTGTCTGGGAGGCAAGTCCACTAACGTTCCAGGAAAAAAAAAAAAGTGATTGGTGACATTTTTCAGAAAAATATAATAAGGAAATAATAGAGATGTATATTAAGAGGTTTTAAATAAACATTAGCATAGTGTATAATACTTTGTGGTTATGCTTGGTCTTTCTTTGGTGCTGTTAAAACCACCACATCAAACCTGTAGCTCTTTTTAAGAAATTGTTGCAAATCATATTTTAAATCGCAATATTGATCAGATCAATCGCAATTCAAATTTATCTACAATTTGACTCTTCGCTAAGCCCAGACCTCCTTAGTTACTGTTGCTACGCCTGACAAGCTATCATGCCTGGCACGGCTGTTACAATGTGTATGCGCCGCTGTCAGACATTGCCAGGGATATAATGTAATTTTTGGCGAACAGGTGAGATGTCCGAGAAAGCCAGACAAAAAAGGACTGCAGTATGCATTTCAGGGGTATATTCACCACATAAAAGGCAACCGATTAGAGAATAATTTAATCAAAACTGAAGCTAGCTTAACCTAGCCGCCTCATACTCTAACCATTCAACAGCTTAGTTCATACTCGGCAGTAGAGGTGAAATTTAAAAATAATCCCATAATAACAAATTAAACCGTGATTTCTCTATTTTTAGCCAAAAAGCCTGATAGATTAATTTTTGTGCAATGAAATATACCATTACTAACCGACGAGGAAACACGCATGATAGTGCTTTTACATAGTATATACATAGAAAGAACAGCCAGAAAGGGGAAACTCAAGGATTTGTGCTGAATATTAGCATCATTGACCCATAACAATGTACAGTGAATTACCTATAGCTGTCAGTATGTTTGTGTACTTATTATAAAATATTGAAAAACAGCTGCTGGTAAAGTATATTGATCGCAAGTGCTCAGTTTGTGATTATATCTCGGTTTTGTTCTGTTGATTTGTAATTTCAAATATTCGTAGCTTGAAATAGATGGAAATATGAAGTTAAGTAAAGTTAGCAACAGATTTGCATTTTCCGGATCAATAACTCATGACCTAATCGCTATTAGTATGACTAAGTTACTATGGCGAAGCCTTAAACGGAGCAGTGCTCATAATATAGAGCGAAAAAAAAAAAAAGAAAAAGACAGCTGGGAAACATAACCTGCTTTGTATTTTTGTAGGAAACACAGTTTAGGTCTGTTTAGGGTAAGAGGTGTGTGAGTTATTGCCGTGGTTCTATCACTTATTGTGTCAGAAATATCAAAACAAAACCACTTTAACTCCGCTTAGTGCCCCTCACAGAGCTTGATCCACGCTGGCATTTCTCCTCTTGGGTTTTTGGTTTTGAAAAGGGAAAAAATTCCACCATCCTGACCAAACTTTAGGGATACCAGGTATCAGATTTGCACAATCCATATGCACTCACTCGAAAGCTTGACAGAGCCCCTGCGTGTAGCTACAGTTGCTAAGCCACGATTGGTGGGTGGCGGTTTTTGGGTGTAGATTAGCGAAGGGTCAATGGTGCAGCCCTACTGTTTTACTAAACTCTTATCAAAATGTGACCCCAAAAGCAGGGAACATACCAAACTGTGACTTTGGTGTAGCGTTCCAGCCCTACTGATTAGACTTGTAATCACCCCATTTTATATAAACTCATATTTTTGCTTTATATTAAATTTTTCGAAGCTACCAAACCAAGAAGAGACAGGTTAGTTTTCTTATACAATTGCCTTTTACAGACATTTCATTTACCTGGAATGTGCACTTGTATGTTTATGTCAATTTATGCATATGTCACCGTATATGTATACCCTACCAGCCACATGGCTGCTTATTATATTAGTTAAAAAGCTTTATTTATATACCATGATGTCCACCTCTCAACCTTAACTATGTACAGCGCATAATCATTGATGACATGAAAAAGGAGAGAAACATTACCTCCCTTTCGCCAAAGCTGACAATCACACCCTCCTTCTTGGCATTTTTTACCATGATGGTAACTGCAACTTGAGACTCTGTCTGGTACCAATCATGTCTGAATGAAGCAGAAATTCATTAAATGTGATGCAATTTTATTCTATTTTTGTACTATTAAACACAAAGAATTTAAAATAAAATTATTACACCACCATACTTACTTGACATGGGTTGTAGTTTGCTGTTGTTTAAACAGTCAGTTGTAAGTGCATTTCAGCAGAAACAGAGGGAAAATAATAAAAAAAGCACAAATCATTGTTTGAGAGAGAGAGAGAGAGAGAGAGAGAGAGAGAGAGTTTATTGCCATTTCAGCTTCTTTGGCTAGGTCATGGCAAAAAAAAAAAACTGATCAAGTTTACCACATTTTATAAATACCACTTTTCTATACTTAAAAAAATATTCTAACAATTAAAATTCATCAACAGCACATCGTTTAACAAAAACAACTGATCTCATGTATCAAATTACTCAGTTTTCTCAATTAAGGGTTCGTTGTGTTTCTTTAAATTAAGATGATAAAAACCAGGCAATAAAATTAAAGCACTAGCATAATACTGTATATTTCTTTTCCAGTTACATACAGATAAAGACAGTAAACAGACACTTACCAAATCTGAAGTTTTGTTTGGAATGTGTGCTAAAAAAATCAGAAAACTATTGTATTAGACATACACATACACACAATCCCCGAACTGAAATTGAATTAAAAAAAAATTTACGTTATACATACTCGCCATTTCAGTTTCACAGTGCTGCATCCATGTTTGAAATTCTTCAACAGAACCTTTGTATGACAAATACATATCAAAATGTAATTAATATATAATTAATATAAACTAATTTTGCAATGACATCTTTTAAATTCAACAGCATCAATTAAAGGAACCAATGAATGAATGTTATACATTTAAGTGCCAATAATATTTGCTTCAGATACAGTTAAACTGCAGTATTCTCATGCATGGTATCTTTTTAGTATAAACAGAAACAAATGTTTATATGCGTTTATTAATTATAATATAACATAGTAAATAGTTTATTCAAAATAATAGAATTATAATAATTTTAAATAAATAATTAAAATATAATAACAGATCTAATAACTAATTGAATAGCTTAAAATGACCTGCATTATAGTTTAATTAATCTGATTACAATTTGAACAACTGGAATTATAATATATATAATTGATAAGAATCTAATTACTGGAAGTATAAAGTTGGCTTAAAGGGGCGGGGCTTAGACCAGAAGCAATCAATCAAATTTTGACAGCTGGTCTATACACCTAACTTAGCTGTAGATAAGATAGATTTTTTTTTCTGTATTACCAAATGTACATTTTATCTATTTAATTATTGGGAGTGTCTTTAATATCTGCCTAAACCCAAAAACTGGTAGACTTTCTAAGAAAGTAACTTTCTCACTGATGACTAGCATTTCTTCAATCCTTCTTTGCATGGTTATTCTTTTTTCCCATGCCCATCAATCTTTTTCCCAGATTATTATCATTTTTTTTAATTGAAAATAAGCTTTCTCTAGTTAAGCATTGCATTTTAATGCAATTGTTCTTTCTGATCATTCTTCCCACACTTTAGGTTTAACATTTAACTGTGAATACACACATCGCCCACTTGGTGACTTACTGCATGCTTAAGTGAGGACTGTTCAGAATATCTCTTCCCAGATAGACTTCTTGATTAGTGTGAATGCTAATGAAGCCTTGTTTTTTTACAGTAATCCACTGGCACCCTTTTGGTAGGCATGGTATATGACAGAAAGTGGCAGTCGAGGTCATTCTAGCTTGAAGTTCAAATATCATATGAGAAGCACTTCTTAAAATGCTTTATATACATAAATACTTATGTATGAATGTTAATTTCAGACCATTTTGTAACCATGATTTGAATATAGCTGCAGATGATAATGTGAAATAGCCTACTGTAACATCTGAGATTATACAAAATAAAAAAAATAAAAAAACATGAACACATACTGAGCCTTATTGTCTCTGAAATGTTAAAACTTACAAAAAGTTGTTTAAAATATAAACAATAGAGCTCTCTAGAGAAAGTGAAACCACTTGTGCTTTTAGTTGACCTCCTAATTAACAACATAGACCAGATTATGTGAAAATATATAGTTTTTATCTGTCTCATTGTGACTTCTGTCATTGTGGCTCACACAAATATACAATTATATACACACAAATTGACACTTTATCATAGCTACAATATATATAAGCCAGTATATCACATTTCCATCAAATAAATGTGGTGTCGCATTACCTTTACACTCCATACTTGAAAAAAAATTAACTCACTGTCAAGGTCTCTTCCTGCTGTGAGGGCCTGATGAGCAGCGACAAAGTTATGTAGGTGATACTCTGCAATTCTTCAAAAACAATGACAAAAAGAACATTAGGCCTGTCATTTAAAATATTTAACTTTTTTAAAGTATTGTGAATTGGCAAGCAGTAAATATTACTATACATGACAGATATCATTGTCCTAGAATGTTACACATGATCAGATTCTTTGCTTAGCCCATCAGAAGACTATGATGTAAAAACCCAAATCAGAAAAAGTTGGCACAGTATGGAAAACACAAATAAAAAAGAAAGAAGTGTAATTTCTAAATTTACTTTGACTTATATAGCATTGCAATACAACAAACATTACTTACTGTGTTTCTCATGATTAAAAAAATATATATTAACCACTTTGTTATGTGGCCATTCCTTATCTCAACACTTAAAATACCAGACCCAGCAGAAGCAGTCAATACTTTAAAAGTGCTCAATTATTAAGATTTGTTGAAACTATTATTATTAATTATTATTATTATTATTATTATTATTATTATTATTTGCATAAGTGATTGAGACCGTTGAGTCAATGTGTAAAACAGAAAAAGGCTTTTTTCTATTTTTTAAAAGGATTTTATTTAAATATCCAATTTTCAAAATGTTCTACTTTTTTTAATTATAGAGAGAACATGCAAATCTTAAGTCATGTGTGAAGCCTAACCATGATAGATACCGAACCATGAGCAGATTGAACCGTTGCACTCCTGATGTTAAATAGCCAAGTAATTACACTACACTTACCTACAGATTTTTGACAAATGCATATGGCAGCTAAAGCATGATGGCTGAATGTAATGTCTAAACATATTTAATTTGGCTCTATAAATACAATTAAAATAAAGTATAGAAGTATTAGAAAATATATTAGCAATATATGGACAAATGGAAAAAGAAGAGATGCTTTATCCAAGATTTTTTTAATTAAAATGAACAGGACATTCATTTGTAATCGGATTTGTAATCAGTTTATAATGCACAAAACTCCCGCCCCCACATATATCTAAAGCATTTCCCAAATTAAAACTAGATTTGTAATTCTGTAATCTGTAATTCGTGCTACATCACTGATTTTGATCCCGCCCCAAAAATGATTTTAAACACGAAAGATGAAATTAGTTGACAAAAGCTCCAACTAATCCAGTTTTCTACAAAATTAAAGCTAACAGTTGCTAACGTTGTCTTAACTGATGCTCAACACACACAAATCTGTTAAAATCTTCAAAAATACTTGAATCTTTAACCTGTTCAAAATAAAATTGCTTCGGAGCCAAAGAAAATCTGTTGATTGTCAAAACGTGCTTCCACACAATTAAGTCAATTACCTTTATTTTTCAAAACCATGGACTGTAAAGTTCGTTACTTGCTAATAAAGAGCTGACATGTAAATAATATTTGTATACAGTACACAAAATATCAATTACATGCATTGTCAAAGGAAAAAAAAAAAGTGTACAAAAAAGTGAGAAATAAAATAATATATGGCTACTATAAATCTGTCTCCACTAAATCAAATTCTTGTTTTGGTTTCCTTTCCTGTTTATTTTAGGATTAAAGAGTAATTAGTCATTATTTAAATACAATTTCATTATCTAAAAATAAGTAGAACTCTGTCATTTTGTAATGACTTAAATTTAAACAATATTTTCTCACCATTCAACAAGATTAAATCTTTTAAGTTAATTAACAAATATTAAACAAAAAAAAAACTAATTTTGATGTAAAATGATAATTAAAGTAATGACAAAGTTGTTGGCCTTAATTGTAGCTAAAATATTAAAACTATTTTTAGATTTAGTAATTGATAAATCACAATCAGAATTTATGAATAATAACAAAGGTTTGATTATTTTGGAATATTCAAAGTTGATTAATTATTTTTACATGATTAATGAATTTTATATTATTTTTACACTTTTGTACATCATTTGATTCTGTAGAATATCAGTTTATCCTTGCTACGTTAAGGAAATTAGATTTGGGTCATTTTTTTTCTACATCACAGGTGTCAAACTCCGTTCCAAAAGGGCCGCAGCTCTGCACAGTTTAGTTTCAACCCTAATTAAACACTCCTGATCAAACTAATCGAGTCCTTTAGGCTTGTTTGAAACCTACAGGTAAGTGTGTTGGAGCAGGGTTGGAACTATACTGTGCAGGGCTTCGGCCCTCCAGGAATTGAGTTTGACACCCCTGCTCTACAGTAAATAAACCCTTTCTAAAAATGGCAACTTTTCTATGAAGTTATCTAATGGTACCTCCCCAAAATATGATATTTCTAAAGTGATTAGACGGGTGCTTAGTATCTCCATACCTCTTACTGTAAGTCAGCTTCTTTTCTCTTATATTAACTCAAGCCCAATAAGAGGTATTACGATTGCTGACAGAGAGATAAAAATCCATGATTAACAGATGACACGATCACACTTTATTTTGATGGTCTATTTGTTGAATTTAAGTTACATTGCATCTACATGCTAACTAACTCTCATTATATTATAAAGAGACCGTCAGGTTGGGGTTAGGGTAAAATAAGTTGATATATACTTACAATGTTTCTTATAGTCAGTTAAATGTCTGTTGAATGTCTGTAACCAATTTACAAGCACATCTGGGGTATACCTAAATTTGGCTAATTATGAGCTTATGGCTATGATGTCTTGGAACCAATTTTTCCAGTATTCCTTCTATAATAATGATGACATCATAATAATTGTGTCAGTTATTTAATTTAAATGATTTTCTGTTGACTTATAATGAATGTCTGGCACATTACAAGATTCCTGTAACATCAGGGAATTATGACAAAGTTTTTGAGGATATTTATCTTGAAGTCTGTGTTATTTAAGCATCAGACAAAAACAACCTTCAGTTGTTTCTGCCTAATATAAAAAGGTAGTATATGTTTTTTTCTGTTAAATCACACATCAGTGCAGCAAGACTCATTCAGCCGCTAAAATGAAGTGTGTAATGATGGACACTTCACGCACTGAACGACCGCAGGTTTGCTTACGTAGCGGAAGGGGCGGAGCGATCGGACGCACATGTTGAATAACTCTATTTATTTTGGATGGTGAAAGCAAAATTCTCCTACGAGAGTGATTATAGCGCCTCCCGATGGTGAATGCAGCAATACTCACGGCAGGTATTACTTGATAATTCAGTCGTTTATTTCACTGATTTGGCAACAGTCAAACGTCATCAGGGAAACGGTTTGAATTTCCGCTTAGTAAAAATACATAAGTGTGCCATCTGGGACGACACTACATACATATACTATCCTGTTGAGTGTGTAAGTGCATAAGTACATAGTGCATGAGTGCATAGTGTATAGTGTGCCATTTGGGACGCAGCTAATATTGGTTGGAAAAAGGCATGGTCAACAGCTAATCAATATTTAATTACAATTGAGATAATGGAAGTATCATTCAAAACTATGCACAGGATATACCAAGCTAAAAATTAGTTGATTAAATTTAAATCTGACCATTGACTTTAATTGCTCTTTTAGTGCCAGTTGCCCTGAACTGTGATACATTTGTTTTTACATTGTCCTGTTGTTAAGCAATTTTAGCAAGATGTCTGCGATTTTATTCTACAAAATATCGATTGTCACTTTATATATTTTTAGAAGTCTATATTGTTTGGTGTTTTGGAGAAAGGCAGTTTCATTTTTAAATGATTAATCTTATTTTTTCATATGCTAAATTTTATAATCACAAGTGTAAGCTCTCTGGCATCTTTAAAGAAGGAAATGGAGTATTATGTACTATATGTACTAATGCTTCAAAACTCATTGGATGGCGCTTCACAGTGCATACTTTAAAAACAACCAAAGAATTTTTGAAGGGAAAAAAAGTGGAATTTTATGCAATGGCCAAGTCAATCATCTGACCTGAATCCAATTGAGCATGCAGCAACTCAAGACAGTTGCAGTAGTAGAGACTCGATAGAGCATCATCAGGGAAGAAACCTAGCATCTCATGATGTCTATGCGTTACAAACTTCAGGTTATTATTGACTGCAAAGGATCATCATTATTATTCTGTCCCATTACTTTTGGTCCCTTAACAAGTGGGAGGCACATCTGCAGTGTTGTAATTCCTACACCATTTAGCTGCTTTGGGTAAATTGATCACCAATTGAGGTAAATACCCTCAAATTAAAGCTGACAGTCTGCAGTTAGAGCACATCTTGTTTGTTTCATTTCAAATCCATTGTCTTGTCGTATAGAGCCAAAAATGTTAGAATTGTGATGATGTGCCAATATTTATGGACCTGACTGTACATTGCCAAATTGTTATATATAAAGTAACATTTAAGAATATTTGAAGTAATATTTTAACAGATTTTCTAAACCAGGGATGGGCAAACTTGATCTTCGAGGGCCGGTGTCCGTTCAGAGTTTTGTTCCAACACTAGTCAAACACACCTGAATAAACTAATCAGTGTCTTCAAGATCACTAGAAATCTATAAGCAGGTGTGTTTGATTAGAGTTGGAGCTAAACTGTGCAGGACACCGGCCCTCCAGGACCGAGTTTGCCCACCCCTGTTCTAAACCAAATTTTGAGTCCATATAGTGTAATACTCCTGATTTATACCCTGATATATTAATACATTACATTTATACGATGAACATATTCTTTGAGAAACAAACATTTAGACATTCATTCAGTCAATTTTCGGCTTAGTCTGTGACTTGGTCGCCACATCGGAATGAACTGCCAACTACTTTGGCATATGTTCTACACAGCGGATGCCCTTCCAGACACAACCCATTACTGGGAAACACCCACACCCCTGCACACGCGCACACACGCACACACTTAGGTCAATATAGTTATTCTAATTCACCTATAGCACATCTCTTTGGACAGTGGGGAAAAAAAGGCAGTCATGCCATTTCTAAATGCAGAATGTATAAACAAAGTTCTCTGATCAAAGCATTCACAACAAAATAACTTTTCAAACTCATGCCAAGAAACGACTCACTTTTACAATCTTAGACTGCAGCTATTAAAAAATATTATTCACAATATTATTAGCTTAAATCCACCGCCTGGTCAAACAGATCTTGGCAGATACGTGGATGCAAGTGTGTCATCAGGAGCAATGGCTACTAAATGTAACTTGTTTGTATGCATTTAAAAAAAAAAAAAAAAACTATTACCACTCACTGACCACAGATTGAGCTTAAAATCTTCTTTAAAGGGTAACCAAACACCAAAACACATGTTTTGAGATGTTGACAGTCATATATACATGTTCCATGTCGCTAAAAACACAATTAGGACACATATATATTTAGCTAACAGGTGAAAATTGGTTGTTTTTGCGTTGTTTAGAGCAATTTCATTCTACTACTTCACGGCAATGAGATCGTGTCAACTCCAGCGTGAAATTTGACTGTCTGTATCGGGCGGTACAAAGTGACGTCATTAAATTTTCAGCATATCTGTTCACTAATTTATGAGAAAGACTCGCCAATCAGCGTACTCTATTGTAAACGAGATGCAACTTCATTGATATGCATGATATAGCTTCATAGACTCTTTTAACCTGTTACAGTGTTCAGAGAGACTTCAGGTTGTGTTGCCAACCATAATTTAAACAAGTAGTAAATACATTTTTCGGAGACATATGTCATCAGTGTAGCGTTTATAAATTTGCCACAATGAAGGTTTTGTGTCCATTACCCCACAATAAAAGCACAGCTTGCGTGTGGACCCAAGCAGTTGGATTACAGTGGTCTGCTAACATGTGACAAAAATGTTTGTAAGGAACATTTTTTTTTACCTGAGGGCTTTTCAAATCTGGAAATGGTGAAATCCAAATTTGTCACTCATCTTCTTTTACAAAAAAAGTATGTGATCATGTATATTATGTTTATGTTTATTCACATGGCAAAGATAGTACCGTCAGCAGTCCTCTTTTAGTTTTTAAAGACAAACCTTAGTCAAAATGATTTGTACTATATGTATTAAAGGCTTCACAATCTCCTAACAATCTGCATTACAATTTCCTCACTGAAGCTTGTGACTCGTTTTCATACGTGTCGTTATTCTGACCTGAAGTGACAAGTGCATGTGTGTGGATTCCTTGACCATTTACAATAGATAGTGCTCAATAGTGCTCATGCTCTTCTGGCGTCTCTCGTAGGTGACCATCAACCATTTTCTCAGAGAATGACAAACAGGCAAATCATTGCTGCAGCTCCAAAACAAGTTTAAAGTGAAAGTTGAAAAGCGCTGCACTGCTTGGGTGCGCGGTGTTTGTCTGAGGTAATTAGTCTGCCATTATTACTGAAATGTGCATATTCCATACAAAGTGTGAGGCAGATTGGTTAGTTCTAGCTGCATTAATTGCAGTGCACTCAGGGCATTCAGAAAAGTTCAGATGTTTCTTAACTAGGTGCGGCCGGAAAATGTCCGTGGTTCAAATAGACTGTAAAATATATGCACGTAGTATCTGTGACGTTACCCACAGGTTTCTGAACACTGCAAAAGAAGCCACAAGTAGGCGTGTTGCCATTTTATTTGCGCGTCATCGCACCCACGGCGGGATAACAAACAAGGGCAAACGAGGGGGAGAGTGAGCAGAGCTAAAGACACCTGCTGGGATTTTGCTTGGACCTAGCTAGACAGACTTTACTTTGGGAAAATGCTTGATACTTTATTACCTGTAACTCGTTTGTGTTCTGCCCACAAGTGCTTGATTGTACACTATATCAATAAAGTGTTTAGACTGTAAGCGTTGAATGTAATACATTGAGCCACCAAACATTGTTCTTATTACGTTTTACTACGGGAGGAAAACGTGAATTACATTCAAACACTTCAGATATAGTCTGTGTTAGAAAATCCAAGGCTATTGATGAACTCCAGGCAATACAATGTATAACAAAGCTTTAGATAACTGTTCTAGAGCCTACAGCTAATCAATCTGTCAGATTATGAAGTGCATTTAAGTTCTAAAGAAAAAGATAAATGATAAATAATCTTAAACAAACAAAAAAAAAAAAAAACATTTATAGATATGGTGTTTAAGTATATAACTTTACTCACATGGGAAACGGAGGCCACATGAATGGTTTGTGAGCACAATTAAGTGCACACAGCATCCTATATTATCTGATAATTGTAAGAAATAAGTCCAAAAGGCAACTGACTGTGTAAAGCCACATAAAACAAAACAAAAATACGATGAATATGCCGGGTTCAGTGGCTTATCTGCCGGAGTCAGCTGAGGTGAAGTGACGTCGACCAGCAAACCCAGCTGTCACTCAAGCGGCCACACCCTTAATTATGCAAACTTAATATAGCCTAATATAAAGGAAACGGATGAGTTATAACAAAATTCACCCCCTCACAGTTGTCATAAAGGGTAATATTAGCTGTATAAACCAAAATCGTTCTTTGTACCAGGCTGTAAACACCTTTTTTTCTGCTGTAAAGTTGGCCATTCCAACAGTGGGATCAATTGTAATTTGCTCTATTATGGAGCCAGAATTAGTGGAATTTCGATGAATTGCAGTTTCAGTTACTTCCGTATTGGCTTCCTGAGGGAAAGCGGGAGGTTGCCACTTGGTGGTTCATGTGCAAGTTGCGCGCCTTCATTGGAAATGACAACCTTACACCCTAAGCTTATTGGTAGGGCCAGATGGAATCTGCTGACATTTTTTGCTATTTCTGTGCAAAATTTTGTAAAAAAAAAAAAAATCTGCAGATTTAATGCGGAAGCCTCTTATAAAAGAATATCTATATATAAAAAAAGAAAATATTACTTTATAAACAGTGTTGTAAATAAATCATATGAATATTTTTTAATATTAGTCATTAATATTACTGGAATGAATTTAAAAACAAAATAAATATAAATTTACACACATATACACAAGTAAATAAACAGAATCAATGATGGGCTAACATATACACAAGTAAATAAACAGAATCAATGATGGGCTAAAAATCTGTGGAATTCTAAGCGCTGTTTTCGTGTTGCCTTATTTATTGGCACTGCTTCCAAGGCACGCTCTTAGTAGCCACATTTTAATAAAACTATAGCGCTTCATACTAGAACTACTTACCTACTTATTGGCAATGGTGTTCGGTCAATAAATATCGATACTGATTTAATCGCCCAGCCCTAATGCAAACCCTTCCCAATTTCACCACTCTACACTCCCACCTAAACAAAGCTGAACTCACCAAACTCACCCACTTTAGTAAATTAACATGATTTTTTTTTTGTTGTGTGAACTATCAATTTAAAGTAATAAACTGATATGTATTTTTTAAATGAGGAAAAAATAAACACTACTGTTAACTTACCCTATTCTTAGAAAGGGAAGTGCTAGTCCTGGCTGCAGGTCTTGGGCTTTCTTGGCATCATCAATTGCTTCTAAAACACAAACAAAGAAACATGTTACATGAAAAATATATTTAAACCATAAAAAGAAAATGTACACCTACACAGTTGAAGTCCGTTATTTACCTTCCTGAATCCTTAGCCACCCTGTATATTTTTTCCTCAATTTCAGTTTGAGGAAAATATCTTTTTTCCTCAACACATTTTTAAACATAATAGTTTTAATAACTGATTTCTTTTATCTTTAGCATTAAGACAGTACATAATATTTTATCTTACTTGTATAGTATATACTTATATAGTATATACTATACTTTATATACACACACATATACATACATATATACACACGCACGCACGCACGCACACAACAGTTCTGTCTGGTTCTCAAATCTGATTGGCTGATAGCTGTGCGATATTCTGCAATATCAGAACTTCTACAGCCTCTTTACCCTTTGTGTATTACTCCGCCCACATACTATCAGCAAAAGGCAGACACTAGAGATCTAAATTTTAAAAGATGCACACTCAACTGTTTAACTGTCAGCTTATGATTTGAATCCGGAAGTAATTCCCTTATACAAAAGGGTTTGAGACTCTCCATGTTTGATTTTGTTTTTATATACACAATTATACTGTCAAACTGTTGTATAAATGCAATATCACACTCGTAGCAGTGCAATATGGCTGTATATCGGCACGGTTGGGGGCACTAAGGCACGCAACACACGCCTCCCACCAGTGCCGATATACAGCCATATCGCACTGCTACTCGTGTGATATTGCTCATTGCTTCTTGGCATCATTGCTTCTAAAACACAAACAAAGAAACATGTTACATGAAAAATATATTTAAACCATAAAAAGAAAATGTAAACCTACACAGTTGAAGTCCGTTATTTACCGTCCTGAATCCTTAGCCACCCTGTATATTTTTTCCTCAATTTCTGTTTAAGGAAAATATCTTTTTTCTCAACACATTTTTAAACATAATAGTTTTAATAACTGATTTATTTTATCTATAGCATGATGACAGTACATAATATTTTACCTTACTTGTATAGTATATACTTATACAGTATATACTATACTTTATATACACACACATATACATACATATATATACACACATACACACACACACACACACACAAACACTAAGGGTGTCATGATCCTCCAAATCCTCGATTCGATTACATTTTCGATTCTAAAGGCACGATTCGATTCGATTTTCGATTATGAATAATTAATTAATTAATGACCAATTAATTATTTGTAGCCTACCGTTTAAACTACCTGACCTGGATGGTCTTTGTTTTACCCATAAACAAATCATACAGTAAATGAATGAAGGCAAGATACACACATAATTACCACCTGTCAATCACTTTTTCTGCGGGACTCGTGAAATGGCAGTGATCTGTGTCGTTATAATGGCGTCGGTAAAAAAGACGCACAACCAACAGGAACCAGCCAACAGTATCTGAGGCGTGCGCTAAAATGACTAAGTACAAGTGAGTGAAAGATTGAAGTAGTCCTCTGACTACCTGGACCTGCTGTCTCGAGCGCATGGCTGTGAGTGTGTCTGTGTCTGTGTGGTCACCTGATGTGCATTTTCAGAGGTAGAGAGGAAGGAGGGCTGCTCAGAAATGCTACTCGCCACTGTGGATGTCAAATCGTTGTCGTTCTAAAATGCCATTTAAAAACAAAGACAGTGTAAACAGGGCCTGAGTGTTTACTTTTCGCGAGCGGATTTGCAACGAGGGCGGGCGGAGGACCGCTATGCGGGTGTTGTCTATCGGACGAACCGTACGTAATATGTACATAGCAGAGCTTGCAAAACTGTGTTTTTTTTTTTGTCGACAACACGAACGTTGTCAACATAACTCCAACTTTAAATCCAAAATGCTTACACACCGGCCTGAAAGAGGAGAGGGTTTAAGTTCTGTCGACGGGTCTCCTGCTTCTGCAGTTTAACAAGCACTTCAACTAACCTGTTTTTTTCCCACTTGGCAAGCCAAACTGACGTGACATGGGGTCGTGGCAGCATCATCGATTCTATTTTTTGATTCGATAATCGAAATTGAGCATAAATTTCAATCATTGAGCATAAATTTTAATCGATTTCGATTAAAATTCAAAATCGTGACACTCCTAATACACACACACACACACATACACGCACGCATGTATATACACAGACACACACACACACACACACACACACACACACACACACACACACACACACATATACATATATATATATATATATATATATATATATATATATATATATATATATATATACACATACATACATACATACATATATATATATATATATAAATACATACATACATACATACATATACAGGGCTCGACAATAAGGACCGCCTGATGCCGGCCTGTGTTGCCTTTTCACAAAAATTTGGCTGCGACTGTCTGTCAATTGCATGCAAATACAATCTTAGGGTGCTTTCACACATAGACGTTTGTTTCGGAATCTGCACACGCAAACACTGAAAGATAGAGAGTCAAATTAGGGCCGTACGTAATACGTACGAAAACCGTACGTAATACCTACATAGCAGAGCTTGCAAAACTGTGTTTTTTTTGTCGACAACACGAACGTTGTCAACATAACTCACTGAAAATCCAAAATGCTTACACACCGGCGACTTCATTGAAAGAGGAGAGGGTTTAAGTTCTGTCGACGGGTCTCCTGCTTCTGCAGTTTAACAAGCACTTCAACAAGCCTGTTTTTTCCCTCTTGGCAAGCCAAGCTGTTGTGACATGGGGGCGTGGCAGCATCGTCGATTCTATTTTTTGATTCGAAAATCGAAATTGAGCATAAATTTCGATCTATTTCGATTAAAAATCGAAATCGTGACACCCCTAATACACACACACACACATACACGCACGCACGCATACACACACACACACACACACACATACATATATATATATATATATAAATACACACATACATACATATACAGGGTTCGATAATAAGGACCGCCTGATGCCGGCCAGTGTTGCCTTGTCACAAAAATTTGGCTGCGACTGTCTGTCTGTGTGCTTAGCCTCGGACAGGTAGTGTGTATGTGTGTGTGTGTGTGGACACACACATACACACGGACAGCAGAGCACACACACATCTAACGGCATCTTAATGAGAGCGCTTTAATGGTCAAATACATGCACATTTGCGCCAGAGCGCGGTGTTTAGTGATCATTCATATTAATCCTGATTTGTGTAATAAACAAACTATTTGAGAATCAAAAGACACGTGAAAGAGAAACCATATAAGAGCCGCACTATTCTTAAAGTGACTGCGTGCGATATTCCTGTAGCTGTTTTTATTATTAATCAAACCACAAAAGGATGAAATCCACTCACTGCTTTTGCTCTGACTTTTAAGTTTCATTTTTTTCCTTACAGTGAAGATGCTTAAAACACAGGTTAAACATAACAGATTTTATCACTCATTTCTAATTCATTTCTAAACTGATTTCTTTTATCTTTGCTATGATGACAGCACATTATATTTAACTAGATATTTTTCAAGATACTAGTATTCAGCTTAAAGTGACATTTAAAGGCTTAATTAGAGTAAATAGGCAAGTCATTATGTAACAGTAGTTTCTTTTGCAGAAAATCAAAAATATATTGCTTAAGGCAGATAATAATATTGAGCTATTAAAATAGTTTTCAAAATATTTAAACCTTATTTTTTTCTAGCTGAAATAAAACAAATAAGCCTTTCTTCAGAAGAAAAAAATATTATAGGAAATACTGTAAAAAAATTGCTCTGTTAAACATCATATGGGGAATATTTGTATTTAAAAATAAATTCACAGAAGGACAAATCATTTTGACTTCAACTGATAATCGTTTTGAATAAACGTGAATACAATTATGACCAAAATAATCGTGATTATGAATTTTCCCATAATCGAGCAGCCCTAAGTCGAAAAGCTATGAACTTTTTTTTTTTTTTTTTTTTTTTGGTGGGGCCAGTGGAAAAAAATTCTTAGCGTTGAACCATGATATATATATGTTCTATATATTTGATATATATTTGTTCTATAGTGAGCCAACACTTATCCTTTTGATTAGCATTATTTCCTTTGGGTTGTGCAGTTTAATTCACAGAATTTCTACAAAGTATGTTGTATACTGTAAACTCGCAATGTTTTTTTGTCACATCCGTAACGCATGTTTATTTTCCTTATTTAAAATACAAATGTACAAAATAAAATGTACAAAATAAAAATGTTTACAGATTGATGTTTTTCTTGCTCGTTAATATATATATATATATATATATATATATATATATATATATATATATATATATATATATATATATATATATATATATATATATATATATATATAAATGTTAGCAGACAGAACATTGATTTGTATCCTTTATCATGGAACATTTTACAAAACATGTCTAAAAAGACTGTATGCTGTTGTTGTTGTTTTTTTTTTTACAGAAGTTAGTATGTGGATACTTTACAAAATCATATTTTTCCTTCTTTGCTTGTACTGTGCAGCAGAACACTGATTTCTGTTGTTCTTACCGAACTGCTTTACTTTAAAATTATTAATTCCCAGTCCTTATATGATCTCTTAAATTCTTCAAAGAATGACAATATGAAATATTAATAATAAATAATATACCTAGTTAAGAAATAAATAATAAATACATGTAAATATTAATATATATATAAAAAAGAAAAGAAGTCCTTACTGGTGTACTCTTTCAACAGAATATAGGCATAAGCTCGCTGGCAGAGCCATTCAGCATTATCTGCTTTCTCTCCCAATGCTTCATTTAGTTCCTACAATAAGAGAAAGACACATTATTCCTCATGAGAGAGTATTAAGACAAACTACAAGGTAGACGTTATGTTTATTTCTCAAAAGTCTGAATAATAGCATTGCCACAATAGCGGTGTGGTGAATGATGAATCGCAGATATGCAAAGTTGTAAAGGGACACTTATCTCTCACCTTAAAACACATCTAAACAGACATTGCAAGTCAAATCTACTAAATCTATTCCATATTTGCTTGACTAAATTCTGATAGGTTTAGTTTGAAGGGCACCTATTGTGTCTTGGCTGTCCCTAAAATGCCAAGATCATTTATTATACCCTGAAAAAAATGTTAAATGAATTAATTTTCAATAAAAAAATTCATATTTATTAGATTAGGCATCCCCTCATTGAAGTCCAGGACATACCTATCCAAACAGTGGTGGAAAGATTAGTGGAAATCACATTCAAATTTAAAAGTTGCCATTACCTGCCAAAACACTGAGTGCAATTAGAACTAGTAGTCAAATAATTATGAACAAAAATGAAGTATGAGTGAAAAGTATCCCCGCTAGAAATATCCTCCAACCTGGCTGGGGATTTTTACAGCGGTTAGCATTAAGCATTTTGGTGCATTACCACCAACTTCAGCTCCAGAGTGTAAATCAGAGAATATGCTTACAGACTAAAGTAATGGATATAAATAAAGTACGAACAGCTTAAACACATCACGTCTGAATGTGTGCTTCAATATGCGTGACAGTGCATGCATGACACTACGCAACAGGCAGCAGTGAGGAATATTTGCATTTTAAAGCACCTTATAGGACCTTTAAATACAACCAGAGATGCTGATTTGCTAAGAGTAATCAACGAAACACTGTTACTCCTGTAAACGACATCAAACGTAAATAAAAGTACACAAATATTATTACTTTTGGTTTTTAAGTAATGCATTACTTTACTCATTACTTGTGATGCACTACGCCCCATACTGGTAATCTGGCAAACTGCTCACAATGTCATAAGTAATTTTAAACGTTTTTCTTTTAAGCTATTTTTAACAGCTGCTACACAAGGAAATATTCTGCTAGACATCAGTAACATTGCGTGTTTAGAGAGAGAGCAAACATCAGACTCAAAGCTGTCAGCAAATGTTATACCAGAATAAGACAAAACAAATAAAAAAATGAATATTTGTAAAACAATAATAAAAAAAGTAAAACTATACAAATATATTTTTTTCATTTAATTAATTATATTTAGAATTTTGTGAAATGAAAAAGAGCTAACATTTTAGACATTGGAAAAAATGATGTTTTGTTAGTGTTGATAATGCAGTTTGTGGGAAACTGATGTTGACTTATTATTAGTATTATTTTTATTTATTTATTATAAATATAGTTTGTGAAAAGAAAAACAGAATCTGCAAAAAAAAAAAAAAGAAACGGTATCGGCCAAAAAATTGCAATTGGTTCATCTCTAAATCATAGAGTTCTGTGAGTCCGCAAGAGTTTTCTGACCACTGGAGTTGAGGATTTACAACAATCTGTGCAGAGAAGGGTTGTTGCCAGTCACAGCCTACAAAAGCACTGTCAAAATTAGTATACGTATTTACTTTGTAAAACTTTAGACTTTGATATGAAATTGCATTCCACAGATGTACTGCAACACTACATACCCAATACCGAAAGAAGAAATCCCATTTACCATTTTAAGGCTATTACTATTACATAAAGTACAACAGCATGGATACCAACCCTACCTACGACATCAGATGTGCAAAAAAGATAGCCCAGACATTAAGGGTGGTTAAATGAAAAAGTGGTTAAATGCTCAGTGTTAAACGTTCAGTGTAAAACGTTCAGTGGTTAAATGATGACATGAATGATCCTTTAAAGATTTTTGAGCACTAAACTTCAACATCTGTAGATTGTGTATTTGCGCATATAAAAATAAGTCCATATTTTTTAGGGCAGTTTATAGCTGTTTTTTTTTCTTTATATTTATCCAAAACTATGTTTCTTGATTTGATTTGATTTAATTTCCCATGCTGTCCATACTTTTGAATGTTATGTGTCACAATTATATTGTGTTGTTAAAGGAGGGGAAATAATAATAATAATAATAATAATAATAATAAACTATGTATAATTAAACTAGTAAAGTACAATTACATTGAAAAGCTACTCATTTTTTTGTAATTTTGAGTATTTGTATTATTCAGCAGTAACGTTACATCAGCTCTTAGTAAATTATTACTAAGAGTCATATAAAGTAAGCATAACTGAAGTTCAATAAAAACACGAAACGTTAACGTTAGGCAAACAGAATTATATACATTTAAATAAAAAGCATACCTCAAGGGCCCTCCTAGGATCCTCATCTATGAAACTGTCAGAGTAACGCCTACAAAAAATAATCACATATAATAACGTATGGCACATACATTTTATACACACACACCTACATAGATACATGCAAGCATACATAGGCCTACATATATACATACATACAACTGACAAAATTTCGTACCCGCAAGTTGCCATGGGTCCACTCTTCGTACTTCGTACTTCGTCTGAAACCGCAGAAAGTTCGAGAGGGAACAGCGGCGTTAAAGGAAGTAAATAATTGGGCCTGTCAATCCCACACTACTTCCTTGCTCTTCTTCTTCTGATTTTATAGTGGTTGGCAACCAGATTTTTGGAGCATTACCGCCACCATTTGGATTGGAGTGTGGATTAGGAGTTAACAAAAAATAAATAAAAAAATTAAATAAATAGGTCATTCCTGGCATTCGGTAATATTTCAGTCCCCCATATTTTTTCAAGTGATTGTTGGCTAAAATGACATTTTAAAAGCAATTTTCATTGATTTATTTTGTACATTATAATGAATAAAAAAAATAAATTAATTAATTAAACATATATATATATATATATATATATTAAAAGCATTTTTATCTAAAAAATACATATTTCTGTAATCATGTCCCCGAGGCACTTCCTTGAAATTGCATGTAGAAAAAAGTTAATAAAATGCACAAAGTGTCTATATATATATATATATATATATTGTATTACAACTATTTATTTGTGTTCTTTTCTGGTGATAGATATTTTTTTATTAAAGATTTTTTTCTATTACAAAAAAGCCTACAAAGTTATGTCCCTCAATATAAGTCACGCTAGCAATTCTTCACCTATAGCATTTTAGACTCCACTCTTAAATGACATCACAGACAGAAAGTGACATCATTCAGCTCTCTTTAACAGCAAATGCAGAAGAAAGCAAGATATATGTTCATTTATTTACGTTTTTTGATATTTATTATAGTTAGAAAGGGTAGAAGCTTAACAATTAAACCCCGTAAAACTAAGATGGAATATGATTAATTAATTTATTTATTTTTTTTTTCCAAACAATATAACATGTTCTTGTTTAATTGCTGCCATGTGGGCCTTCTCTTTTAAACCACACGAGGAGCAGAGGTCATTTTGCTTTAAAAAACTTTTAACTTTAATTAAAAAAACATTTCAGTAAATATATACTTACTATAACTTTTTTTTTTCACAATATTTGTCACATTGTTTTTCACTTACACTTTGACGCAATTTAATGAGATAAAGAGGGTTAAGCTATCAAAAGGTTTAGGAATCCCTAGTTGAATTCCCTGGTGGTCTTCTGCTGCTGTAGCCCTTCCGCCTCAAGGTTGGACGTGTTTGTGTGTTCAGAGATGCTCTTCTGCAGACCTCGAGTGTAACGAGTGGAATAACCTTGGTGTAACGAGTGGTTATTAGAGTTACTGGTGCCTTTCTATCAGCTAAAACCAGTCTGGCCATTCTCCTCTGACCTCTGCATCGACAATGCATTTGCGCCCACAGAACTGCCGCTCACTGGATATTTTCTCCCCTAGAGATTGTGCATAAAAATCCCAGTAGATCAGCAGTTTCTGAAAAACTCAGACCACAGATCATCCCATCTGGCATATCATTTTATTTTATTTTTATTTTTTTTTTTATCATTATTAAGAATTTTCTTTAACAATTTCATTAAGAACTTTTTCTGCTGCAGTTTTTTATGTTCCAAGAATTGTTTGTTTGTTTGTTTGCTTTATTTATAGAGCACATTTAAAAACAACAGATGTTGACCAAAGTGCTTTACAAAACGACCAGCATACAAAATCTATACCTATATACAAAAATTGTGTAAAATATATAAAACAGATTAAAATTAATTAATTACAATCAAAGGCAAGAGACAGAAGGTGATTTTTTAGATGAGACTTAAAAGCACCAAATGAAGAACATGACCGGATCTGTAAAGGCAGACCATTCCACAGTCGGGGGGCTGCAGCAGAAAAAGCCCTGTCACCTCTTGATTTCAACCGCGTTTTGGGGACAACTAGCTGAAATGTGTTTTCAGACCTGATTGGCCTCAATGAAGTGTGCCAGTGAAGAAGCTCAGAAATCTAAGTCGGTGCCAGACCATTCAAACTTTTAAAAACTAGTAGCAATAACTTATATTGAATTCTAAATTGGACTGGGAGCCAGTGAAGAGACAATAAAACTGGTGAGATACTAGAATTTTTTTTTTGTCCCAGTTAAAAGCCTAGCAGCTGCATTTTGAACCAGCTGCAGGCGTGCTATTGATGCCTGTGAAACTCCAGAATACAAAGAGTTACAGTAGTCCAGTCTTGACATAATAAAACATTAATGAAAATTAATTAGTTTCCAGCTCTTTAAAAGAAAGAAAATGCTTCAATTTGGCAATGTTCCTTAATTGATAGAAACCACTTTTGACGACTGAGTTTATTTGCTTGTCAAATTTTAACTCAGTGTCAAAAGTAACTCCAAGATTTTTTACGTGACTGTGGATCTTAGGCTTGATCAAACCTAATTTATTAATTGTAGATTCACAGACACTCGGAGGACCAAACACTACTACTTCAGTTTTTGATTCATTCAAGTGTAAGAAATTACCAGCCAGCCATTCCTTAATCTCGTTAAAACAGGTGAAAAAGGACTGTAAAACTGAATTTTCTCTTATTTTTATAGGCAAGTAAAGCTGAGTATCATCAGCATAGAGGTGGTAGCTTACATTATGCTTCTTGCAAATTGCCGCCAAGGGAAGCATGTAGATAGAGAAAAGAGCTGGGCCCAAAATTGAACCTTGGGGGACACCACACTCCAAATGTGCAGATGAGGAAGAAAAGTTACCCAATTCAATAGAAAAGGTCCTCCCTGAAAGATAAGAACTAAACCAATTTAAAACATTTACTTGAATCCCAGCCCACAATCTTAAACGCTCAATCAAGATATTGTCATGTATTGTGTCAAATGCCGCAGTCAGGTCTAGTAAAATTAGAAGTGCGCATTTTCCAGAATCAACGTCAGAAAAATATCATTAGACACTTTTAGGAGAGCTGTCTCAGTGCTATGCCGTGTCCTAAAACCAGATTAAAATTTGTCAAGAATGTCATTTCCAATTAAGTGACTAGAAAGCTGTTGAAAGACAACTCTCTCTAAGATTTTAGACTGAAAAGACAATTTTGAAATTGGTCGATAGTTTTTTAAATCTGATGAATCCAGATTGGGTTTTTTTAAAAGGCGTTGTACTACAGCATGCTTAAAACAAGAAGGTCCGACTCCACTCAGCAAACTAGAATTCACTATTGATAGAAGGTCTAATCCAACCACCTCCAATACCTGAATGAAAAGATGTGGAGGGATAATATCCAGTGAACAATGGGAGGGCTTCATATGGAGGACCAAGTCCACCAAATCATGTCATCAATAATCAATTAATGTTTTAGACATAATTTACCTGTTGCTCCAGTTTACTGTAAGTTCTGTTCAGCAATATATTTCGTAACATAGGCCTTTATCAGCATTTTAAAAGGTTACTAATGGTCCACTAACCTTCAGCAGTTTACTTTTTTCAATTTTGACTGTAGTTTGGTTTAATGAAGTTTAATTTCATCTCAGCGTGATTAATGCCTTTGCTAAATGTTTTATTAAAATAAATGTGAATAAATTCAAATTCAAATTAAAGTGTCCCCTCAACCCTGTTATGGTCTTCAACACCATCACTATATTCTCAATCTTATGAAATTAATATTTTTTGGAAAATAAAATAAGGAAAACAATTGAATATAGAAAAAAATCTTGCTGAATACCAACCGCCATGTTAAGGTCTAACATTGTAAATGTGTGGTTTGGGTCAGACATCTAAATTTAAATATATTTTTTTAGAAAAATTAAGAGACCACAGAATGCAAAAAGCTTTTTAAAATACTATTATTAACGACTCAACTTTGTCCGTTACGGGGTTGAGAATAATGGGTGTCCAAATAAGAATAAAACAGAAAAAAGCTTTATGCCTGGGGTGGGACGATATGATTTTTTGAAAATACTTTAGTTTTAACCATACCTTTCGATTTCCGACTTGCTGTACTGCTTGTTTTGACAATTTGTCTGCCAACTCATTCTCACGGACACCTACACTACCGGTCAGAAGCTTGGGGTCAGCTTTAGTAATGTTTTATACTTCCAAAAAGCATTTGACACGGTTAGTCATAATTTTATTGTTAGTGTATTAAATCTTTTTTAATTTTAACAACTATTTTATCAAGCAGTAAAAAACTTTGTATGTAAAAGGAAATAGCTGTATTAAACTTACATCTGAAACAACACCCACATATTTGATACATAAAAGAATAAGACGGTTTCCCTGTTTCCCCCTTTCCCCCTTTCTTTTTTATTAGTGACTCAGATTTTTTGTTTAATGGTAATACAAAACAAAGCAAAGCATTTAAAGGCATTACATTACATCACATGATAAGGAGATTAAAATCTCACAATATGTAGATGATACCACCCTGTTTTAAAGGAACATGCAAAGGTACCTAAACCATTAAAAATCATTAAAAGTTTCTCTTAAATATCTGATCTGTATCTTAATATTTCAAAATGTGAGATAATATCTTTAAAACATAAATAAAAAGAAATATGTAAAATAAATTAAAAAGAATATTTAAACTAAAAATTTTCTACAGAACTTAATGTTAACCCATTGTAGCGTACAGTCCACAGATAAAATTACTTATTGATTTTATCACGGTTTGGGTTTAGTCGACAGGACGGTTTTACGACTCCTGGCTCCAAGAAGTCTGGATTTTCGTGACAGCTTAAGTAATCTAGGGAGACTGGAGAGAGAGAAGTCTGGAACTTCAAAGACATTCCTGCCCAAATACACACACACACACACACACACACACACACCCACGAAGCTGTCCCGACACAAAGAAAATGAACTCAAAAAAAATCCTGAACCAGCACAAGACTAAAGTGTTATGTTTTGTAAACTTTGTATCTAATTTCTGACTTTTCTTACCTGTGTAACCTCTCTTATAACCTGTATGCATGTTCCCTTTAGGCCTTTTTAAAGCATAAATAATATGAGGATGTGAAAATCATGTTGATGTACTTTTAAACCCCCCCATGTTTGGTACCGATGGGTTTCTGCTGACATTTTACAACACATAATGCATAGAGCAAGACCATAACTAGCATTGCTTTATTCTTTAATTCCCTGTATTAAACGCCTGTCCGCATGCTTTGGGCAGACACTCAAATTTGCATACGAGCAGCC